TTGGGGATTGGTCCATTGGCGTACAAAAAAGCTTTCTAAGCTCCTCCAGAAGTGAAAATATTATATATGGGCATAGATCTCCAAGAATAAATCCCAATCCACACTCTTCATTTTTATCTCTCATCCGCCAACGACTTTGTTTTAGAGAGTTGTTGTTGATTGAATTCCCTCGTGAAATTCAAATTTCCGGATAAAACATTCATATTTTACTTAAGAAATCACCATATCCGCATGCTTGCAGAGGCCGCAAAATATTGCTGCTTATGAATGGACATTTTACAATTGTCGTCTAACTTTTGTATCCGCATTGATCGTATAAACAAGACGTCTACCAATGTAGGACAAACAGAGATAACCATGCATGTATATCCAGAAACATTGAAACTCCATTATTATTGTTTAAACTTTAGTTAAGAATTTCTTTATTTTTGTATCCAACGTTTTTTGTGCGACAAACAGCTACAATATTGCAGGCACTTGCCTTACCAGGGCCATGTTTAACATACAAGCTGGGAATGGGGGGCATTCGCCCCCCTTCCCCCAAACTAGCGAAGAATAACAACTCAATAAATGGAAAGTAAGGTCTGGGCTTTATTCTCTGTCTTTGTTTTACAATTCGATTTAAAGGAGCTGGGTCACCGAGTGTGCATCCTACGTGTTTGTAACACTAAGTAATGATAAATTGTTGTTAGTATTTTTTAAACTTTTTATGCGTTTTTTTTCTTCTTTTATTTCAAATACCAATATAGTTAGCATAAATTTTAGAGCAATTTTAGATGCTCAGAATGCAGGAAATGGCATTTCCGGGCTACAAATTTCAACAATTATCAGGGAGAGTATGCCCCCAGACCTTCCTTAGTCCTATGCATGCGTGGTATGTCGGCCACACACGTACGTGGCCCACGACTAGTGCTATCACGCTGTAATAAGTAATGAATAAATTATTGTTGATTTTTAAAACATTTTCGGCATTATTTCGTTCTTTTATTTCAAATACTAGTATAGTTAGCATAAATTTTAGAGCAAATTTACCGAGATGTTCAAAATGCAGGAAATGGCATTTCCGGGATTCAAATTTCAAAATTTTTCTGGAGGAGTATGTCCCCAGATCCATATATTCATGCGTTGTATGTTGGCCATCCACGTGGCCTTTGGCCATTGCTATCCCCCTCTAATATATTATTTCGCAGAAAGGTTGCTTTTGAAAAAAATCCCCCCCCCCCCCGGGAAAGTCCTTAAAAAAAGCACCGTGCCTTAACGTACTGGCCATACGGTTTTTTCCTACCTATTTTTGCTACGTTGTCTCCTAATCTATTTTCTTTATATCTAGGTCCTGGGCCATATATTCGTATTGTGGGAATCAATTCGGAAATAAAAACTCACAATTACACAGGATTTGGTAGGGTGAAAGTTTCGTGCACTGGAGAAGGAGATAACGCAACGAAAGTTCACTGGACCAGAACGGATAAAGATGGCAATAGCATTAGTCTAAACACAACAATCTTAAGAATGGAGGAAAGCAGTGTTGTAGTGGGGAGCTCCGGGAAATGGCGTGCAGATTTGCTTGATAGACCAGACACGACCAAGTTTCCATACAGTTACAAATGCATCGTGGAAAACAATTGTTGTCTAACTAAGATGTCGTCACTGCTAAATATGACATACTCTCCCCCGCCTGGTAAGTATAGGTTAAACACCGAGAACGGTGTCTTAGAAATTCCGAAGACATAAAGCTGACGTTTGAGGTGTTTAACCAATTTATAGCCTGATTGTCGAGGTTTCCAAAACATATCTTAATAGCTTGTGGGGCATGGAATCTGGTCTAACATGTGCAGTTTACGCTTTAATTGGACGAAAACCGCATTTTATCATCGAAGTCCCACACGTGAAACAGCAAATATTATTCTATAAATATATAATCCCGGCGTATTTCCCCTGGCAATTAGGGGGTAAATTCCTAAAAGATCAATAAATTACCACGTTGCATCAAACAAAACGGAACCTATGGTACACCACACAATGTAATGTAATCCTAGCCAGAAATTTGTAGAGGACTGAACATTATATTGTTACATTCTGTAAGTATGGCAAATCCCCCCGCATCCTCCATTAGGTTACAGTATTGTTGTGCCAGATTTCCAGCTATTATAGTTACCGTAAACAACCATTAAATGGGCCATGAGTAGGGAGGTGAAAGTGATGTATAAGGATAAATTGAAAACGTGACCAAGATTGAGCTATATAGTATTCAAAATTCAACAGCTATACTGCTAATCGATGGTGAAAAATAATTGACAATTAAAATAAGAATGAATGAAATTGCAGATGGTGAGTGTCCACCCTTTGGCGTTATAAAACCAATTCAAGTGGATTCAGCTCCAAATGAAAGATCTGTTACATTTAATTGGCAATACGACCCAGACCCTGAAGATACAGGCTTTAGTTTTTCAGTCAGGGGTGCATCCCCTACAAACAATTTGAGTATCGCCGCACGAGAACGCATCGTTCGTGGCTTAGGTATGTACAAACAAACGAATTTCTATCTATTGACTAGTGACGTACAATTTTCGTTTTAAATGGAGATTGTGATGACACACAATTAGGATTATATTATTTTAACAATGCCAAACAAATATACTGTATTATGAAAATTTTGGCCTTTAAATGGAAAACGTTTCACTAACAGCATTAACAATATCGTTATTTTTTGCCATTTTATTTATTAGCTATGTATATAACAATGTTTTTCGGATTTCTTTATACTTATTACTTATTACTCACTATACGTCATGTTTTTTAGAACCAAACAAGAATTACAGTTACAGTTACAGTATACTTTATGGAAAAGCATGCAAGACGTTCGCTGCGCCTCGTCAATTTACAACATTACCAGATTGTGAGTATAAATTGTATGTTCTTCTTAAAACACAACTCCGAAATTACAATGGCATCGCTAACTAAGAATAACATAATTGTACAGAGAACCCAAAAATAGAACATATATGAGTAATAGAACAAGTGCCATACAACAAGTAGGTCCGTATTGGCATTTGTTTATGGACATGCATGCAGATCTGCCAAGTGTGGTTTATCGTACTTGTGACTGATGACCTGTATATGAGCCGTTTGTATGCATTGTAGCACAGATAACCTCAACAGTTTTATGGCAAGTTGATCGTGACATTGTAGCGCTGCCCGAATCCCAATCCGGGGCAAACCGCCCGAAACTGACCACACCCAAAAACGATGCTTTCGCCATAGTGCTACCTACCAAACCATGAAAGCTTTGGCTATTCTGAGGTGCTTATACGGTTCAGAGATAGTGCTTTTAGGGGTGGTCATTGGTACGTGTGAATACATGGCTGTGATATTTGGCAAGAAAATCATCATGCATGCAATACTCATAGTCAAACGTCAATTTGTGGCTTACTTTTGATGAACAGCAGTGGACCTACATTACCTTTTTTCCGAAATCTTTTTGATACGAACATTATTGGTACTTATATCTTAGTATATTATCATTGTTTTGGTGTAAAATAGTTAATATTTTGTGACCGAAATAGTAATTTGAAATGTACCAACTTCCTGCAAATGGACGTATTTAACCAAATTCGCCACTTTACCCCACGTGTTTTTGGCCGATATTCGTTGAAATTTTTCCAAATATGTACGTCAGCTCAGACATAATGATATCAAGCACATTTTAAACAAGTTTTAACTAGGTTTTAAGTCGATCCTAACTGTTTAACCATCGACAAGGTAAAAGCTCAGCTTTGTCCAAATTCGGCGCCATTGTGTCAACCCGTGTCGACTGTCAACAACTCGGCCTTGTTATTCTTCCATTGCACTAATAACAAATATAGCCCTTTATTAAGGGTATGAAAATAAAAATATGAACAAAAGATACGAAATGCAGCATTTTAACACCCTGTAAAATATTGCTCACAAGTACTAAAAACATTCCTGCCGTTCAACTCTCTCGCGTGGGCAACGTA